GACTTAGCACCTTGGAACTTTTTCCTGTTCTCAGAGCTCTAGAAACATCACCGGGGGAACCAAGATTAGGCAGCTGATATTAGTTCTGTGAAAAATCTTCCAATTTTTTTACGACGTGATACGACAACCAGTTTAACTCTATCATGTGTGTGTGTGTGTGTGTGTGTGTGTGAGTGTGAGTGTGTGTGTTTGTGTGTGTGTGTGTGTGTGTGTGTGTGTGTGTGTGTTTGTGTAGAACGTGGTTGTGACTACATAAAACAAAAGACGCTTTACTTAAAGAACATTGCAAGCTTTCGCAAAATGTATATTCGTGTGTAACATATTAACAATATTATGTCATGGAAAGCATTATTTTTAAACCGCCCTCGTACATAAAACACACACACACATACAATTATAAGACTGATTCTAGAATGGCCTACCTGACTGACTAAATCGTAATCTGAGCCATGAAAAGTGGTGTGCCGTAGCCCATTTTGTTGTCATAGACTGGAAATTTTGATCATAATTGCACGTTGCATCATTCTCATCTACTATTACAGTACTGCCGTACGATGAAATTCCAGTGCGAGCTAAATTGTCTGGTGAGAGAAAAAAAGGGATTTTATATATATATATATATTTAAGTGTGTGTGCTTCTGTGTGTGTGGACGCGCGCGCCGGTGTTCGTTGAAATGTATTTCGACATTCGACCAGGTAACTTGCAATATTCAGATGAGATCTGTTACCCTAACCTCTTTCAAAGTTGTCTCTTTGAGATTGTACAGACATGTCCGTGAAGCTCCGCTGTCTCGCTCTTCCATATTTCCCCGTTCCAATTCATGTGAACTTTCTGCTTGTGGAACACACCAAGATGCCATCTGGGGACTTGTTAAAGCCTGCAGAACCCAACAGTTGTATTTCACCCCAAAAATTATAATCAGGTTTGAGAAGTTGGTCGATAAGTGATATAGATAAGCCAGGTCTACATTGTCCTCAGGTCCCATTGATGACATGGCACGATATCATCAAGACAATAGGTGATATCCAGATGATACTCTTTTGATAGTTTGAACTTACGAATCGAACTAGTGATAAACAACCACTTTTGAAATCAAAGAATGCAGAAAAACAGGACTTTGGCTGTGTGGAATTCGTACCATAATTTTATTTTGCTTTGGGAATGATAAGTGGCTCCACAGTGTCAACTATACTTAACATATGGGCTTGTATCTTCAAACGTGTGATATTACCATGTTATTAAAACTGTTTTGGTTTCGAATCTTCAAGTGTATGAACAAGTGACAATGTCTCTCAGATCATTCTTTGGTCATTGGATGAGACGGTGAAAATTGGAGTACTTCGATAACGCTAGACAGGCTGGATGGGAGAGGGGGGTGGCAGAGAGAGAGACCGAGAGAGAAGATACTGGACAGATTTGGCATCATGGTTTTGAGGATCATCCGTGTCAGAGCTGACTGAAAGTACACGACCACAGAAGGTTGGGATAGACGTGACTTCCAACGTTACATGGCATGAACTTTGAGAAGTATTTCAGATTGACCCAGCATAATATAAGTACAGTAAATAAAGTAAAGATCCCTTTTTACGCCTTAGGCGCATCGGGCATATGGAAAGAAAGTAAATTAAAAAGTAAAGATCCCGTTACACGCCCTTAGGCTCATAGGGGATATAGGAAGAGCACCCATAGTTTTACAGACCAATCGGCACTCGGTGGGTAACGTGGTCGGCCTTACGCCAGCTGTCTCTACTTTCCCAGGACATACATCCTGGTACCCATTTTAGGCTGGGTGGACCTGCTACGCCCCAAACCATGATAAAAATCCACCCAGCTAGCAGTGGGTTTCGATCGCGGTACGTTGGAATTACGAGTCGGACCCGCAACGCCCAGGCCACGGACGCCGCTAAAATAATATAGGTAGCAGGAAATATCCAGTCATCCAAGATTTTCAGGTCGACAAGCAAGTATATTTCCATCGCGATCTTCGCCTTACCGAAAGAAAACTAAGGCCACATTGAAAAAAAAAAATTAACAAAGCTAATCAATTCACAAAGATAGCTGCCCAAGATACTGATTACAATGCGAATAAGGATATTAATAACTAAGAGGCAAGTACGTCAGTTCTTATTCTAAATCTCTGGTATGAAATTGTCAGTTAGGAACAAGACCCAGTCTATCATCATCATCATCAACCTTTCTGTGCCGTTAGACGTCACATAAGGGCTTGCATTTGACTCCACCGATCCGCTCTCTTGCATGCAACTCTCTCGATTTCTGTCAAGGAGTTCAGGCCAGGATTGTTAGCCTCTGGTAATACTGTTTTCCTGTTTTCCTGGGAGGTCTTTTTTCTCAGACCGTTTGTTTCTCATTGTAGTGCTTGTTTTGTAATTCTTTGCTCATTTAGTCTCAGAATGTGAGCTGTATCTGTCCACATTCTATTGCAGCCGATATTTGTCCAGAAATTTCTTAGATCTTCTCACCCTTTTTGAATTCCTCCTATGTTATGTTCAGACTTTTCTCAGACATTTATTTTCAAATGCATTTAACTTTCGTTCCATATCTTTGGGGACTCTCCATCTTTTGCTGGCATATGTTAGAATTGAAATAACTGTAGAACTGAAGATTCGTAGGTTGGTCTTAAAGCTGTATGACTTGGCGCTCCACATTTTCTTAAGGATAATAAAGAATGTTTTGCTTGATATCATAATTGTCTTCGTTGTATCTCCTTGAAAGTCAAGAATGCTACCGAAAATAGGTGAAATTTTCTGTATCTATAGTCTTATCTATGCATCAGCTTTGTTTAACATGTACGGCAATGACAACCACATATGTTCAAGGTTAGGCATTGCTTGCTTTATTGTTGCTTTAATTACTAATGTCATTGCTAAAGGAAGTATGTAGCTTATTTTATCGTCATCATCAAGTGCCTTGACGAGTGACGTGATCGATCATGCCTGTCTACTACCTAGGGTCAACAGTATTCGTCAGCTTATGTGCTGGTCTCCCTCCATGCTGTGACAATAAGAATTTTCTGGCATTGTTTTTTCCATTTTCTTTTTCCACAGATCTTTTCAATACTAACAACATGAACTAGTTCTCCTATTCCCATAACAAAAAAAACACACAAATTATGTCTCTTTCTGACATTCGTAAATACTCAACAGACAGGGAAAAGACTGAGGATCTGGACGATACTCCACAGACAAAGAAAAGACACTAGATCTGGACTATACTCAACAGACAGGAAAAAGACTGTAGATCTGGACGATACTCAACAGAAAGGGGAAAGACAGAGAATCTGGACGATGTGCAACATGCATTATAAAGACAGCTTTAATCGCGATGTGTCAAGCTCCACCAAAAACAGGTGTCGACACACAGAAAAACACTGGGGACCTAGCTTCCGTCATCACTTCAATCAGGTGGAAACTGATGATTGACTACTGAGGAATATCTCATAGTTAGTTCTCTAGTTATCTGCTTAGTTGGTTAGCTAGACCTTTATTTTTAACATCCATCACTGCGACAGTGGTAAACATGACCCGATTTACCATGCTCAACTCACAATATTGGCAAGCAGGACCAAACCATCCGCTTTGACATTTAGATCCAAGTGTACAGTTTCCCTCGCCGTCACACAGATTGCTAGAACATCGACATTTGTACTGACATCCTGGTCCAAACCAGCCTCTAAGGCACACACCTGGAACAAAGCATCATCAGGATCAAAGTAATTAATAATCCGTCTACAATTAATAATCCGGCATCAATTAATAATCCCGCATTAATTAATAATCCGGCATCAATTAATCATCCGGCATCAATTAATAATCCGGCTTCAATTAATCATCCGGCATCAATTGATAGAAGACAGCAAGTGAAATGGTTTGCCCACTTAGAGAGAATGCCTTGTGACACCATACCATACAAAGCATACATGGAAAGAGAAGAAGGACGTAGAGCACGAGGTAGACCAAGAACAAAATGGAAGGATAGCATCAGAGAAACTCTACAACAGCACGATGTGCCTATGGTCGAGGCGGCCAGAAGAGCTAGAAACAGAACCTTATATCTCCCTTGACACCCACAGCGGTAAAAGAGGAAGTGAAGAAGAAGATCAATTGATAATCCGGCATCAAATAATAATCCGGCGTCAATTAATAATCCGGGATCAATTATTAATCCAGCATCAATTATTAATCCGGCATCAATTATTAATCCTGCATCAATTATTAATCCAGCATCAATTAATAACCCGGCATCAAATAATAATCCAGCATTAATTAAATATCCGGCATCAATGAATAATCCGGCATGAATTAATAATCCGGCATCAATTGATAATGCGGCAATTATTAATAATACAGCAGCAATGAATAATCCAGCATCCATTAATAATCCGTCATAGCTTTAAAAATAACTGTCCGTACTGCCTCTAGAACATAGCAATAACGGCAGAAAAAAAAATCACATAGAGAAGGGTGCTAGATAGTAAAGTTTAAAAAGAAAAAGAGAACATGGGGAGAGCTGTGTGCAATAGCAGGGGATAGGATAGCCGGGCGTGAGCTGGTTGATGGCCTATGCTCCATCGGGGGAGAAAAAGGGCAGCACAAAAAAAGAAGTACTTGAAAGATGGGGTGTCTAGAATCCGAGAAGATAGGATCGCATGGCTGCTACTGTGGCCACGAAATGCACAGGTTATCAGGAGTGGAACTTCATTCCACGGCTACTGTAAAGTTGCCACTGAAGGAGATTATACTTAGCACTCAGGAGACATATATAGGCTCTATGAGAACACAAAAGGCAGGGCGAAGACAAAGGATCTGGACGATACTCCACAGACAGGGAAAAAACAGAGGATCTGGACGATACTCCACAGACAGGGAAAAGACAGTAGATCTGGACGATACTCCACAGACAGGGAAAAGACAGTAAATCTGGACGATACTCAACAGAAAGGAAAAAGACTGAGGATCTGGACGATACTCAACAGGCAGGAGAAAGACAGAGAATCAGGACGATGTGCAACATGCATTAGAAAGACAGCTTCAATCGCGATGGTCAAGCTCCACCAGAAACAGGTGTCGACACACAGAAAAACACTGGGGACCCAGCTTCCGTCATCGCTTCAATCAGGTGGAAACTAATGATTGACTACTGAGGAAGGGGACAATGCATTCATAGTTAGTAAGCTAGTTAGATAGTTCGCTAGTTATCTGCTTAGTTAGTTAGTTAGTTAGTTAGTTAGTTAGTTAGTTAGTTAGTTAGTTAGTTAGTTAGTTAGTTAGTTAGTTAGTTAGTTAGTTAGTTAGTTAGTTAGTTAATTAGTTAGTTAGTTTTAGTTAGTTAGTTTAGTTAGTTAGTTAGTTAGTTAGTTAGTTTAGTTAGTTAGTTTAGTTAGTTAGTTAGTTAGTTAGTTAGTTAGTTAGTTAGTTTAGTTAGTTAGTTAGTTAGTTAGTTAGTTAGTTAGTTAGTTAGTTAGTTAGTTAGTTAGTTAGTTTAGTTAGTTAGTTAGTTAGTTAGTTAGTTAGTTAGTTAGTTAGTTAGTTAGTTAGTTAGTTAGTTAGTTAGTTAGTTAGT